GTACACAGACAGACAGACAGACAGAAAAAACTTTTCAACCGCACTGGAGTAACAGGCTTCGCTACCGCTCAGCCAAAAAGTGTAATCCTTGGGCTATACGGACGATTGTAGGTTAAAGTAGAGAGCATTTTTTCATCTTCAAGATGCCGCAAACCGAGAAAATTGTCGCGCGGTGAAATTTTGTATGTTTTGTCGGCTTTTGTTGCATTCCCTATAACTCCCATACGGCTGAAGACAAAACAATTTTTTTTTTTGAAAATGTTGTAAAAATTCCGTTCTTTTCTTTGGTTTTTACCGTTTGTCTCTAAGAGGTATACTTAAAAAATCATCGTCATCAAAAGAGGGGGGAAAATCCCCCTAAAAATGGGTACAGGGACGAGACTGCCCCCTTAACGGCTTGGTCCAGTAGACTCTTAGCAAGGGCCTCCTAGTTAGCGACGAGGACGACGAGGACGAGCCGCCAACCCGGCCTGTCTGAAGGGGATGATATCAAAGAACTAATGACTCAGCAGCTCAGAAGCGAAGGCCAATCCTTCGTTTGTGCATGGCAAAGTGGGAAGTGTCCACTCCCGAAATTCACAACACCATTGACATTTCGACGTAAGCAGCCAATCTCATCGCAGACAGTCAGCTTTCAGACAGTAGATTCGTAGATCGTCGCAGACAGTCAGATTGAGGTTGTTTCAGCCTATTGAGTGTTTGACAGTGGCGACTTGGCTAAGGATGCCAGAAGTGTGCATTTGAACATGAAACGATTTTTGGCTGAGCGATAGCGAAGCCTGTTACTCCAGTGCGGTTGAAAAGTTTTGTCTGTCTGTCTGTGTGCGTGTGTGTACACTACTCCTTCTGAACGGCTCGGCCGATCTGGCTGAGATTTAGCAGGCTTATTAGGTATGTTCTTGGCTCGGCACACGCGAAACTTCACTATCCTAGCTCTACTGGTTCAGTTTTTATTTACCTAAAAAACGGCGAAAAATTGAGTTTTCTGTCGGTAGACCTTTCCTGTGTGGATCAAAGGGGGGTCTGGGGGGCGGAGCTCCCCAGCCTCGACAAGTTGAAAAGTTACAAGGGTCAAAATCGTGTAATTTGTAGATAAAGCACCTCTATCTAGAACATGATTTTTCTTCACGTCTGTGTGCCTTTTTCTCTATATACTAATGCGCCGTTATCTTTCTTCCAGTTGCGACTTCCCCTGCGACCCTGCAACAGGCGCGGATCCAGGATTTCCGTTTAGGGGGGGCACTTTTGGCAGATGTGTATCACAGGTTGCCTATATACCTCCAGGGGCAGGCGCGGATCCAGGATTTCCGTTTAGGGGGGGCACTTTTGGCAGATGTGTATCACAGGTTGCCTATATACCTACAGGGGCATGCAATTGAATGCAGTTAAATCACTGGCTTACTTACCGAAATTTGATTTTGTAGGAGCCAGCCCTGGGACAACCGCACCTCGGCGTCCATGCTACAGTAATGCGGGTGCGGAAAACCCGCCGGTGCCGCCCACCTCTCCAGGCCCCCATGGGGTTTCTGCCGAACGGCAGCGCGTGGCCCTGGCGGGGGCCCCGCCCCGTTTTTTCAAAAACCCACCGAGGCAGACAGCACTGGAGTCCTACACCCTACTTCGAGCGGCAGCCTTAGACAAAAATGTAATGCGGTGGGGAAGGGGGGGCACTTAAGGCAGCCCCAAAAGCCACAGCTGCCGTGGGTTGGTAAGTTACCCCCAAAATGGCAAAATATCACACCAGGCATTGTCTTTCCTCAATCCATGGGACCTGTAATCACCTAATGTTTGCGTTCCAGTTGCCGACCTGCAGTGTTGATCGATCAATTTCCTCCGAAGTACCCTATTGTTCATTGTATCCCCAGGTTCGCGAGAACTCGCCATCAGGTATAGCTGATCAAGAGAGAACAACTACTTCGGTACTGCACAGCCGGTACGGCTCCAGAGTCTAGTGTAGCAAGTGAGAGTGCAGTGGGATGCAGTCACCGAAGAGTAGAGTCCTAGCTGCTTCAATCCAGTCTAATCTGAGAAGAGAGTGGTGGCTGCATCACTTTAACCAGCTTGTTCAGTCAAATGCTTGACTCATATTTGTTGTTCTATTGTGAGTAAGAATACGTATATATACGTACTGTGAGGAAGTACAATTACAACCAGTGTGTATGGCGAGAAAATCAAATTATCACCGTTTTAAGTAACCTTTGAGGCGTTTTTCTCTCTCCTCTCAGGTTATTTCCTGTTGCAGTGCAAATAATATCGGGGCTTTCAGGGAGTATTGTCTCCAGACAGCCAAATTGTTTGCAAGCCACTACGGGTGGTATTACATGCCGCACACTCTAAAAAAAGTTACAGAATTTTGTATCATTTTTGATGCAGGATTTTGTATCACCTGCATTGGTTACAAATATTTGTATAAGTGATATAGAATTTTGTATCAGATGTGCCGGTTACAGAAAAATGAATCATTTTGGAGCTTGATACAGAAATTTGTTACATGAAGGTTACAATATTTTGTTTGTAACATAACTGATACAGAAAATTGTAACTGGATACTAAATTCTGTATCAGAGATTAAAACATAATGTTTTAACGGCAAAATTGAACAGCAGTGCCCATAGAGACAAGTTAAACTTAGAGTTTTCATGTGCTTTTATTTTTCCCGACTCTGAATAAGAGATTCAGTCTCGTGTATGCTTGGCTGGCAAGGCCTCCGTCCCTTACCACGCGCGCCTCAGGTCACCGGCTACCTGCGCCGCTCCCTCCACGGCGTCCGCACAGCGCAGTTGGTAGCGTGGCGGGCCGCCAACCCAGAGTTTGGGGTTCGATTCCCGACTTCTCAGAGTACATCTGGGAAAGTTGTGACTCGAAGGATGGCATAAGGACCTTCAATCAGTCCCACGGAGACTACGTTCGAACAAAATTCTCATTTTGAAGCTTGATTTGGAAGAATAACGACTGTTTACAAATTTTGTAACCGTTACGAAATTCTGTAACCAAGTTACAAAGAAAAAAATTGTATCCATCGTGATACAAATTTCTGTAACACATGTTATTGAAAAAGCTGCGTAACCATGTTACAAAATTCTGTACTGATTTTTTTTAGAGTGCAGTCTGTGCATAAGCTGCTCATACATGGATCTGACATTGTGGCTAAGTTGCCTCTCCCAGTTGGTTCCTTCAGCGAAGAGGCACAAGAGAGCAGAAACAAGGACCTGCGAAGATTCCGGGAGAACCACAGGCGCAAATGTTCGAGGCAAGCACTCAATTTTTGGCCCGTGACGTAGTATTATTAACTAAAATAGTTTTCTTTGCCAGAGAGACATTTCACTCATTCTTATGATGACCTTTCCATTGTGTGCCCTTTTGCGTTTTGTCGAATAGAATTGCTGCCATATCTGACCTTCTCAACAGGCTCATGCTGACATCGGATCCCCTCTTGTCCTCGCTCAAAGTTGAGGAAACAACAGTGACGGAGCCGACTGAAGAAATGAAGCAACTCCTGTGTTGCTCATGACTGGCCAAGCCAGTGCTTTGTTCTTTTATATTTTTTACGCAAATCCTGCGTATGAGGAACATTAATATGTACACTTTTTTTCAAATTAAAATTTAATGTGTTTTTGACATGACTAGAGGTCTGTGGTCTGTCATGCGCTCTCGGAATGACACCCCTCCGTGGCTCGCGAGTGCTTCACACTCGACTTCGTCTGCTTGCGGACCACAAACAAACGTTTGCCGGGTCTCGTTTCAAAGTTTCGAACGCAGCTCTAAATTGGTTTTGTTTCAGCAGATGCCGCCGCGACGTGAGTTGACTGAGGTGGAGGCCGGCCAGGCCGTGGCGCTGGTCGACGAGGGCGTGTCCATGCGCGAGGTGGGTCGTCGGCTCGGCGTCGACCACAAGGTCGTCAGCCGCGCGGTGCAGCGCTTCAGGGAAGACGGCCGCCCGCGGTGCACCACGCCACTAGAGGACAGGCGGATGGTGCGGACAGCCCACTAGGACCGCTGCGTGTCGGCGCGGCAGATCGTAGAGCAGCACCAGCAGACCACGCACCAGGTGATCTCCGCGTCCACGGTGGAGCGGCGGCTCCGCGAAGGAGGCATCCACGGCAGCGTCCCCGAGAAGGCACCTCGCCTGTCCACCGGCCACCGGCGGCAACGGCGGGAGTACGTGGGAAGGTACGGAGGGCTCAACGCCGCGGAGTGGCACTGTGACTCTATAGCTTGGATTTTACATTTTTTTTTTTGTGTGTTACGACTGAAAATACGTAATTTTGTTATGTTATGTTTAAATTAAGACTGAAAATACATATGTATGTGTCCATATCTGAGATATGAAAAGCCTTGAACCCCCCCCCCCTCAAAAAAAAATTGCAGACATAGATAGGCTGAGACGGCACAGAAGGGTTTTGGAAGCATCAATTTCTGACATCTATGAGTAAGTTATCAGTGTTGGTTTCTCTGCATTTTGAAATAGTGACTGTATGTTGCTCACATAACAATTTTAATTTGTTTCCTTTTGGACCTCGTGGGGTCGGATCGGACATGTTTGGGAAAATTGGTAACGTCGTTTTCATGGAAAAAATCCTTTTTGGAGCGTTTTCAAAGTTTGGAATTTTGTTGCTGTTTGATGCCCGCACCAAACAAACCGTCTCCTCAACGTCATTTTATGGAGAAAGGTCTGAGCTTTCGAATGCTTTATCGGGAAATGCTCTACGACCTTTTGTTAAGGACATACAGGCGTTGAACGAATGCAGACTGCAGATTCTCCCACGCGGGAACAGTGCTTGCTTCTGAAATTCTCGCCAAAGCATGTGTTTTTCTTTCTTGAAGTTTTTGAAGCTTTCCTCTCGAGATAAACGCTTCAAAGCGCATTCCATTTTCTGTGCTAAAAAATGTGAATACAGGTTGAAGCGTTCACCTTGATCTTGCTTACCAATGCTGTTTCACTGCGAACGAACGGTATTGGTACGCGATTTTCTTTCGTGTTTTGACAAGAAACTAATCTCACTGTACCCTTAATGGTTAGCCTGATGACAACGCCAGAGAGCCCTGAGAGCCGGAAGTCATCATTGTGGAGGGCCCACCACTGCCGCCCCGCCCGGGCACACCTTGTGAGGAGGCCGTGGAAGTAAGTACACTATGCACTTCATTTTTTTCTCACCTCTCTGTCTTTTGCCTGCTAGTGTGTCAACGAACAGCACTTTTGACTTTCATCAAAACTGCTAGTCATGGCATGTTATGGCGAAATGTGTGAACTTGGTCACTTACCCCTTTTTTGTTGTTTCAGGATCCTGACAAGGAAAACGTCCCACTCCCAGCATCTGCCCTTCCTCCACCGCCGCCCCATTGGCTGGAGCGAAGGGAGCCGCTCAGGGACGTCACACCAGCTCCTGCCCCTGCTAGCCCCGTGCTCCCGCCATCCCCTCTGCCCAGCTGCAACAGTGACTGCACATGCACTGTAAGTCTATCTCTTTGCATGTCTTCGTCCTGGTCTTGGCAGTGGTTTCGTCATGTAGGTGTGTGTCTGACAGTATTGGTTTGTTTGTTCCCAGGACTCCAGCGATGACGACAGCAGCAGTGGCTCCAGTCTGGAGGAGGGGGAACTGCCAGCCTCCCCCGTACTGGTAGCATTTGCCCCTGTATCTGCCCCCACATCTACCCCCCCTTCTGCCCCCACATCCGCCCCTGCCGCCGTTGCTCAGCTCTCTCATGAGTGGTCATCCAATGCATGGCCCACCCCCCGACCCTCATGCCATTGAGCGCCGCTACGCCTAGGGGCGTTTCGTCATGCCTTCGTCGTCATGCACGCCCGGTGGTCTGCACCCTCCTCCACCTGCTGGAGGGGTTTGTTAGACTCTTTTTTTCACCGCGCTGTGATTTTGTGTATGTGAGGGTGTGTGTGTGTGTGTGATGTTATTTCAAATTCATTTTCGGCTTGTATGTTTGTCTTTTCAAAATTTAAGTGAGCGTGTGTGACTGCGTGTGAGTCAGTGACTTTTGACTTGTAAGGGAGTATGGGGCGATTTGTAACAGATTTCGGAATTCTCTATACAAAAATAAGAACATTCTGCATATCGGTGTCAAACTTGTGCCAGTTGAGCAGTCTGGCCCTTCATCTAGAATGTGCAGCTCCGTTGGATCAATCTGGAGTCCGTAATCTTTGAAATCTAAGACGCTTTCCAAACCCTTGCACGCTGTTACGAATCGCCCCAGCATGGGGTGATTTGTAACAACCATGGGGCTTTTCATAACATCTTACACATAAAATAAAACATCGTCAGGAATGTTATCTCCTCCACCAGTTGTTCTTCGGGTGTCCTGCAGACGTCTAAAAATCTACATTACAAGCTGCCGTTGACCGCCTCAGCATTAACTGATAGGCTATGTCAATCCTAACCTCACTTTTTTCAATTTTAGAGGAAAGCATAGAATAACTCGCTTTTAAGTGCATTTCGAGCTGTGTAAATGTATTGGAATAAAGCAGCAGATGATTCGAGAAATAATTCAAGCATTCAACAGCAAAAACTACTTAAATTCTTGTTTTTATACGGGTCTGTTACCAATCACCCCAAATGCCTGTTACGCAAGAATTCCGTCCCTAACTATAACTGGACAAAGTAAAAGCAACTTTTGCCACGTGTTTACATTGTAAAGGGGTCACGCTTCAAGGCCCCGACGGTACTTCGATGGTGATTCATACCTGGGGAGCCTCAGACAGAAACTTCATAGAAATCAAAATTAAAAAAAAAAGGCCTGTTTGCCGAAATTTCGGTGTACTGTATATTTCAGACGCCCTCCAAAACTATACCTGAGCACCGATCACATCCGCTTCGATTGTTCAAGGACCCTTTACTTGAAGCGAAAGAGGGGCCATACTCAGATTTTCCTCTGCTCCCTCCACTTAAATTAATAAACGCATTTGTTACGAATCGCCCCTGTTACAAATCGCCCCATACTCCCTTATGTTTATGCTAAGTGAATGTGTGTGATGTTTCAAATTCTTTTTTGGCTTGTATGTAAGTGTTGTGTGAATGATTATTAAATTGAGGTTGCTCCTAAACTTGTGTTCATACTTCTCCCTTCTATCCTTTGCAAACTTACATCTTGTAGTCGAGCCACTTTCGAAGTTGATCCTTGAGTAACGAGTGACATTTTCTGAACAAGTCCTGTTGCATTCTCATTGAAGATTTTTCTTATACACTAAGTTAACATTTTAAGGCCCTAGTTGCAAATTTGTGCAACTGTATCTTCGGCAGTTATAAACCGGTTTTCACCCACGCTATCTCAAAACGACCGTCAGAGTCTCTCCTTTCCAACGGTGTCCTTCGATTGTAATTTAAAGAATTGGCCTAGTTTCTATGAGGCTCAAAGTACAGATATGCGACAAATTTTCATGTTCGCCGTATACTTCTAAGATGGAAAGTGTACTGACGAGAGCCGTTCTTCGCTTTCACATCTATTTTCAGTTGCGCATTAAGTTTTTACCATCTCAAAGCTGGCTGGTGCTGCTACATTGGCTCCAGGGACATGTAAATAACGTTCGGTGTTGGAATCTCATGTTTAGGTCAGTGCTTCTTCATCATCTATGGTTTTATGTCTCGCCGCGACATCCCAAAACGGACTTTTAAGTCACCTCTTTCCGAAACTGTAGTTAATCTTGAGTACTACACTGTGGCAAAAAGCTACGGAAAATAATGTCAACAGCTTGTGGTAATTCTCCGTAGCCCCCTTGTCAGTATTTTCCGTAGGACCGCACAGTATTCTCCGTGGGACCGTGCAGTGATCTGCGTAGGACTATACAGTCTTCCAGGTCCTACGGAGAAGACTGTGCGGTCCTGCGGAGAATACTGTGTGGCCCTACAGAAAAAACTGTAAGAGTCTACGGGGAATATTGATAAGAGGGCTACGGAGAATCCTGGCAAAAAAATTAACAGAATTTTCCGTACCTTTTTGCCACCGTGTAGTCTATTTGGTATCAAGACGTGGTCAAACGCCTTTGTGGGTAATGGTCTATTTCACCGATTTCTGCCGATGTGAGCTCAAGCAAGAACTCTTTGATTCTGCGTCGTGAGGCTGGTCTCTGAGACACCTGTGCATGCGCTAAAGTGGTTTCATTTTTTAATTGGCTGAGCGATAGCGAAGCCCGTTACTCCAGTGGGGTGAAAAACCTTTTTCTGTCTGCGTGCGTGTGTGCGCGTGAGTGTGTGCACTACTCCTCCTGAACGACTCGGCCGATCTGGCTGAGATTTTGCAGGGTCATTAGATATGTCCTTTGCTCGCCACACACCAAAATTCAGCTTTCTATCTCAACCTGTTTGGTCAGTTCCGCCAAACAACACTTAAAAAGCGGCAGAAAAAAGATAACTTTTCAGGCACTTTCAACTTTTTGTCAAGTTTCATGTCGTTTCCTATGTTTTTGAGGCTGCTGATGACGGAAATAGGACTTATTCGGACCCCCGGCCCTAAGTTAAGTCCCATTAGTGTAGATTTTGATGACCAAATGCTTATTTTTGAGGGTATCACGCCCTTTTTACGGTCTGTCTACAAGCAGCGTGCCGAAGGCAGGCTAGCGCCGCAGGGCAAGGTAGGTGTATACGCCAGGCGTGGATTGTCGAAACTGGCGCAGCATCGCGAAGCCTGTTACGACAAGACACGGTCTGGCGTACACCTACCTTGTTTATTGTTCTTTGACTTCCGCTTTAAGGATTCGTGAAAGTACCCTATTTTGTCTTAGAGATACAAACCAATGTAAAGTTGTTGGTTGGGGTGTCTTGTCTTCTCTTAGGTGTTCATTGAACTTTGACGATATTACGGTGTGGAAGTCGTCCTGTGGCCAAGCCGAGCGTTGATTAAGAAAACTTTCAATATATCGATTGAGTGTTTAATATTGCGTTCGTTTTTCATCACCTCACTGGGTAAGCTTTTTTTTCTTTTTCATCGCTTCTCTCGTAATGGAGCATTTATCATTCTCATTTTAGCCTCTCATGAGAACTCAACGGACCAGTAAGCGGCAATAGGGTACTTTCGTAGATCCTGAACCGGAAGCAAGTAGATCAGCAGACGCCAAATTGGCCGGAAACTAACCTCTCTTCGGATCCAAAACTATAGCCGAGCTGTACAAATATTGCTCGCGAAACACATATGCACTGCAAACAAGTATGAAACGACTGTTTAAGTTCAAGTGTGGCCGATACGTTTAACGAACGTCTCTGTCCCATGTCAAGTTTGAATCTACTTCCGCCAACTTGGCGTCTGTGTGCTTCCGGTTCAGGGATCTTTCTGTGCTAAAAATGTGAATACAGGTTGAAGCGTTCACCTTGATCTTGCTTACCAATGCTGTTTTCACTGCGAACGAACGGTATTGGTGACGCGATTTTTCTTTCGTGTTTTGACAAGAAACTAATCTCACTGTACCCTTAATGGTTAGCCTGATGACAACGCCAGAGAGCCCTGAGAGCCGGAAGTCATCATTGTGGAGTGCCCCACCACTGCCGCCCCGCCGGCACACCTTTTGAGGAGGCCGTGGAAGTAAGTACACTATGCACTTCTTTTTCTCACCTCTCTGTCTTTTGCCTGCTAGTGTGTCAACGAACAGCACTTTTGACTTTCATCAAAACTGCTAGTCATGGCATGTTATGGCGAAATGTGTGAACTTGGTCACTTACCCCTTTTTTTTGTTGTTTCAGGATCCTGACAAGGAAAACGTCCACTCCCAGCATCTGCCCTTCCTCCACCGCCGCCCATTGGCTGGAGCGAAGGGAGCCGCTCAGGGACGTCACACCAGCTCCTGCCCCTGCTAGCCCCGTGCTCCCGCCATCCCTCTGCCCAGCTGCAACAGTGACTGCACATGCACTGTAAGTCCTATCTCTTTGCATGTCTTCGTCCTGGTCTTGGCAGTGGTTTCGTCATGTAGTGTGTGTCTGACAGTATTGGTTTGTTTGTTCCAGGACTCCAGCGATGACGACAGCAGCAGTGGCTCCAGCTGGAGGAGGGGGAACTGCCAGCCTCCCCCGTACTGGTAGCATTTGCCCCTGTATCTGCCCCCACATCTACCCCCCTTCTGCCCCCACATCCGCCCCCTGCCGCCGTGCTCAGCTCTCTCATGAGTGGTCATCCAATGCATGGCCCACCCCCCGACCCTCATGCCATTGAGCGCCGCTACGCCTAGGGGCGTTTCGTCATGCCTTCGTCGTCATGCACGCCCGGTGTCTGCACCCTCCTCCACCTGCTGGAGGGTTTGTTAGACTCTTTTTTTCACCGCGCTGTGATTTTGTGTATGTGAGGTGTGTGTGTGTGTGGTGATGTTATTTCAAATTCATTTTCGCTTGTATGTTTGTCTTTTCAAATTTAAGTGAGCGTGTGTGACTGCGTGTGAGTCAGTGACTTTTGACTTGTAAGGGAGTATGGGGCGATTTGTAACAGATTCGGAATTCTCTATACAAAAATAAGAAACATTCTGCATATCGGTGTCAAACTTGTGCCAGTTGAGCAGTCTGGCCCTTCATCTAGAATGTGCAGCTCCGTTGGATCAATCTGGAGTCCGTAATCTTTGAATCTAAGACGCTTTCCAAACCCTTGCACGCTGTTACGAATCGCCCCAGCATGGGGTGATTTGTAACAACCATGGG